TTTTTTTTAATAATTGTTTCATTATAATTGGTTTCCTTTGTTATTTTATGTATTTTATTGTATGCATTTAAGAACATCATTATGAGAAGGGGTCCATAGGCTTCCCCAGACTGCTAAAAGGGTCTAGGACACACACAAAAAAGGTTAAGAACCCCTGGACTAGATGATCTGGGGGCAGGGGTGTCTTGCCAGTTTTGAATCCTATTTCCTATTAACAATGACGCTGTAACAGAATTTGGCTGGGATTCACCACAGACCATTCCCCAACTATATACCTGGTAGTGCTGGCCTAGAATACGGTGTCCCATAAGTGTTAACGCAGTTTTAAGTTTTAATAACTTGAAAATGCACTAAGACTTTGGGATACCTTGAGCTTCATCATCATCATCATCTAACAACAACAGCTGATATTTACATAGCATGCTAAAGTTTGCAAAGTGCTTTATGGATCAATAGATCATTTGCACTCCTTTGCACACGTATATAACACGCACACACCAGCGCACGCACACAAACACACACAAGCACATGACCTATATGCCTCAACATGCCTGCAATACATGTGCACATACTGAATGAGCTTATATATGTGTACATACATGTGTGCCTACGCATACGAATGCATGAGATATCTGGGAATGTGATAGAAGAGGAAAAATTCTCTTTCCAATAAAAGTCCCCTGGATTTGAAGTTAGGAGCCACGTGGATTCTATTTCTAGCTTTGACACTTCCTAATTGTATTATCTTCAGCAAATCAATTCCCACCCCTTAATCTCAGTTTCCTTATCTGCAAAATGGGAATATTACACCTGGTACTTCAATTCGACGAAAAGTATGGAGCCTCTACAGACCAATTGTAAATGCAAGAAACAAAAGACTGCTAGCAGTTCCTGTCAGGCAGCTGGTGGCATAGCAGATAGAGTGTTGGGCTTGGTATCAGGAAGACCCGAGTTCAAATCTGATCTCAGACACTTCCTTATTCAATGCGTGATGCTGGGCAAATCACTGAATGTTTGTTTGCCCTTTTCATCAACTGTAAAATGGGGTTAATAGCAGCACTTACTTCTCAGGGTTGTCATGAGGATCAAATATTTATTGATAAAGTCCCTGGCACACAGTAGATATTATATAAATGCTTATTCCCTTGTCCTATATCCCCTATGTCCTCAACATGCTTATGCTCTACTAGGGGAATATAGTACGTGCATAGACACAAGACCCTTTGAGAAGGAAGTGGGGGATAGAGAAAGACTTTAGACTATCTGCCTCCTATGTCTGTGAGGAAAACACTTCACAAAACTTAAAGTGCTTAAATATGAGTTATTATTATACACACTTACACATGTACATATATGCAGCACAAAATCATGCATGTTTGCACGTGCCCACAAAGACATGTGCCTATGCACATACATGTAAGATATACTTACATGTACACACACCCCTAATGTGTATGTGAATGCAAAGCATGAGCACATGCATGCACATCTACATGTACGCACACCTTATATGCATGTGCTTTCATGTGCACAAACAAGGCACTGAATTCCTACACCTCTCCCACTGGTCTTTTTAATAGGAATACCTTCATTGATCCAGCATTCAAAGTGTACAGGGACTTTCCAGACACCAATAAAGTGCCCTGGTCTACCTCTAGGGGAGAGTCCCCTGTTATTATTAAAGTGGAACTGCCTGGGGACAGCTAGGTGGCGCAGTGGATAGAGCTCCAGCCTTGGAGTCAGGAGGATCTGAGTTCAAATGTGACCTCAGACACTCATCAGGTAGCTGTGTGACTCTGGGCAAGTCACTTAACCCTGATTGCCTCACCAAAAAAGCAAAAAAAAAAAAAAAGAATATTTTTAAAAAACAAAGTGGAACTGCCTGCTAGGAAGGACCCTGTCCTTGCACATCTCCAGAGACCCCCTGGCTTTCACAGTTCTTCTCCTTGGGAGGAAGTAGACTCTTTTTCCCACCCCTCCCCACTTTGTTTGCCTCTCTTGTCAAGTCCCCTAGTCATAGTCTTGGTTGTCATTAATCTGCAGACTTTAATTGGCTTGGGAGGTGGAAAATTGAGAGCAGTTGAGACGCCAGAGCAAGAATCTGGAGAAAACACAAGGGACCAAAAGTGGGGTGGGAGGCAGGGTCAGATCTGACAACTGGACAATTTCAATTAGTTCCATCCACCCAAGGGTGGGCCCCACTAACTGTAGAGGACTTCACCCTTTCCCACTCTTGCTCCATGAGACCAGAACAAGCTTTGAGAGTTTCTGTAGACGGCTCTATAACAAAAAAAAAATTATGTGTACACATATAGAAACTTCCTGTAATTTGGTGCTGGCTCCTAACGCATCCCTGGCAATTCTAAAGTGATGCTAGCCTGATCCCTCTGCTGTTGCTTTCTGGGTATGCCAAATCCCTATTACCTGTCCTATTCCCATCATTCTTCCCTTGATTCTTTCTATTATCACATTCACTCTCTCCCAGCCCCACTTCCTCTCCATATCCTTAGTCTTTCCTCCAATGTGAACTGTTCCCAACTTGTTCTGAGTCAAGAGCGAGCCAGAGATCATCAGACCAAGATCTTCAAGCACCTTTAGCCTCAGCTGCTAATGTCCTTCCCCCTGTCTCCCAACCTCATCTCTCCTTTCACTCCTGGGTTCCACAGGTGCTCATTTTTATTCTCTTTTAAAGCAATTGGTACAAACAATCTATTCTTGGAGTTTGTCTCTATAAAGGCAGAATACTGTCCTGACCCTCTTCATCCTGGGAAAAGATCCAAAAGAGATCCAGACATCAGGCTGCTAAACTCCTAACTGGCCCAATCCCATTTCAGGTCCAAGGAAGGACCAAAAGAGGAACACCTAGATTTCATTGATCATTTCACTCTTCTGTTTAAAAAAATCAATAATTCCCTATTATCTACTTAGTAAAGTTTAAATTCCTTTTCCTGGCATTCAAGGCCCTCCACAAAGTGGTGCCACTCTTTCTTTTCAGTCTTAAATTCCTTTTCATGCATGCTATGTTCTAACCAAACCAAACCAGCCCTACTCCCCCTGGAAAATGCACTGCACTTAACTACCTCTGTGCCTTTGTTCTTACTGTCCTCCATGCCTGGAATGCCCTCTCTCCACCTCTTTGACCACTTAATTCTTACTCATCTCTTAAAGCCCAATTCAAATGCTACTTTCTCCACAAAGCCCCTACCCTTCCTATGGATAATAACTCTTTACAGAAAGGACATTGACAAACTGGAGCCTGTTCAAATATGGGCAACAAGAATGGATGGTGAGGGGACTGGAGACTATACCATTTGCGGAACAGATAAAAGAACTAGTGATATTTTGGCAAGAGAAGCCAAGACGTAAGTGGGGACTTGATAGCTCTCTTCAAGTATTTGAAAGGCTGTTGTGTGAAAGAGAGATGAGACTTGTGCTGTTTAGCCTTGGACGGTTGAAATAGGAGCAATGAGTGGAAATTGCAGAGAGACAATTTCAGTTCAATGTATGCCAAAAGTTTACCAACAATGAATACTGTGTAAAAGTGGAATGAACTGCTTCTTGGTCTTCAAAATGGAGTCTGAATAACTAGATTTCCTCTGGGGAATCTTTTTCAACTCAGAGTCTAAGACTTCACTAATCTCCTCACTGCCCCCTCCTGCCTCACTCCCCACCCCCAAAACACAACACTAGAGAAACCTTCTCTCTCACACTTCAGGTAACACTTTGTTTTGCAACACTCTAATGTACTTATCATGTAATGCATATTTCATGTATCTGTATTTGAGTCTTCTGGAGAGGCAGCTTGGCATGGTGGATAGAATGTTGGACTTAGCATCATCAGAAAGACCAGAATTTGAATACCACCTCTAACACTTACCTGCTTGTGTGACTCTAGGCAAATTACTTTAACCTGTCCCAGCCTCAGTTTCCTCATCTTAACAGCACCTACTTCACAGGGCTTACAAGGGGATTAAATAAGATACGGGAACCCTAGGCCTCGAGGCCACATGTGGCCATGTAGGCCCTCAAGTTCAGCCTTTTGATTGAATCCAAACTTTACAGTACAAATCCCCTAAAAGGATCCCCTAAAAAAAGAGTAATCCCCTAAAAGGATTTGTTTTTCGAAGTTTAGATTCAGTCAAAAGGCTGCACTAAAGAACCTAGAGGGCCACATGTGGTCTCAAAGCCGAAGGTTCCCCACCCCTGAGATGTGCAAAGTGCTTTGTAAATTCTGAAGTGCTACATACATGTTAGCTATTATTCCTCTTCTGGATTATAAACTCCATGGGTCCCCCCAAGGACTGTGTCTTATCTAAACTTTGAATCTCTGCCACAATTGGATACAGTGCATTTAATAAATATCTGTTGTTGAATTAATGTAGTTACCTTATTCCTCACCAATCACCTGAGAAGACCCTTATTTTTAAAACCTCCCAGAAGAAACATCTCTCCTGATCCAGTTCTAAGTTACTCAGTTCGGAAGTTCTTTTCAGGTCTATCTGACCTTGATCCTTCATTCTGTAATTACAACATTCCCCCCCACTTTTTTTTAGGGGAGTTGGCAGTTCTTTCTTTCAGAAAGAAAAATAGGGGAATGCTGAAGGCAAGTGATCCCATACCTCCCCCCCACCAACCTCCCCTCCCGACCTAATTCTGTCAAATCCCCACAGAGTGCAAGACTCAAAGGCTTGACCTAGGACTCAAGGTCCAGTGAAGGAGGAGGAAAAGTTCAGTTCTAAGGATTCAATGGCCGGGAAGAAAGTGCAGATCTCTCTCTACTTTTCAGTTGTATTCACGACCAAGGTCTGAAAACCTGGGTTCCAAGCTACCACACCTTTTGCTTCTCTCTATCCTCCACTCCCTCTCTTTCTCTCCATCTCCCCTCATCCAGTTCCCCTTTAACTCCCCCCAATTTCTTTTCAGTTTGTTACTGGCTCTCCAAAGAGAACCCCACAGATTTAAACCACAGTCAGGTGCCCCAAGGAAACTGATCAACTCACCTTTCTGCTTGTAGATGACATCTCTTGAGTCCCCCAACTTGGGAAGATGTGAGCTGACAGTCTGGAGACTACGGGGACTCCCGTCCTTGGTCTGTGGTCCCCCACTCCCGCCAGCCCGGCCCACTCTAAATCCCCCCCCCCAAAATCCACAGTCCACGGAGCCCGCCTCTCCCCATATCTCAGCTTTGTCTCTGCAGGGAACATGGAACTGAGGCCAGGATCCAGGATCTAGTTCTGTGAGTGAGAGCGCGGGAGAGAGAAAGAAAGAGACAGAGAGGAAGAAAGGGAGAGGGGAGAGAGAGAGAAAGCCGCAGTGACGGAGCCGGACCGCTCCCTGCTCCCAGTTCCCCCCTCCCTCCTTCCAGGCCTGCCTCCTGCCTTCCCTCATTTCCATAAGAAAGATGGACCTGGGGCTGGGGTGGAGGAGGATGGGGAGGGGGTGTTGGGAAGAAAGGAGGGGGAGAACGTTTGCCTTTTGCAAAAATGAGCTGTTTGTTCACACACCCTCTTAGCAAAATCACAGCACCATCTTTGGTCCTCTTTGGGCCACCCCACCCCGCCAAAGATGCTTCCTTTCTTCAGCTTCTGCGATGCGGCTGCGGGGCGCATCTTTCTTTGGCTTGAGTCAAGAAATGTGTTCCCCCAGTCCCTCCCCCGCCCACCCCGCGCTGAGCTGGATTAGAAAAACTACAATTCCCAGCATCCCTCGGGGCCTCCGCTCCCTCCCCCTCCCCCAGTCAGTCCCATGCTGCTCTATCCAGTTCATTTAAAACAAAAGAGTTTGAGAGCTGGAAGGGGCTGGGCTCTATTGGGGGCGACGGAGAGCCGCTGGGGGGCTTGGTGCTGGGAACCTAGACGGGGGGGGGCGTCTGGACTGTGAGTGTCTAGAGACTCTGGATCCGAAGCGGGTGGGGTGGGGGCAGAGATCCCGCAACCCCTCCGCCCCCCCGCTACCTCCACCTTCACCCCCAGAGAGGGGAAGAAAGCTGTTCTCTTGAATTTGCTACAACTCCCCCCAACCCCCCAGGGGGCTGGGGGAGAGGGGAATCGGATTACAGGGTTTTTGGGGAGGGGGGCGCAGGGGGAGGGTCTATCTTTCTATCTTGCTTTCTTCACCCCCTCCCCAGTTCTTTGTTCCCCCTCCCCACACCACACACCCCCTCCTCTCCCTTCCCCTCCCCTTCCATCTCTCCCTCTCTCCCTCTCTCTCTCTCTCTCTCTCTCTCTCTCTCTCTCTCTCTCTCTCTCTCTCTCTCTCTCTCTCTCTCCTCTCTCCCTCTCTCCCTCTCTCCCTCTCTCCCTCTCTCCCTCTCCCTCTCCCTCTCTCTCTCTCTTCCCCCCCCTTTCTCCCCCTCTCTCTCCCTCTCTCCCTCTCTCTCAGCTTTTGTTTCGCCATGCCTAGTCTAGTGGTATCTGGAATAATGGAAAGAAATGGGGGATTTGGGGAACTGGGATGTTTCGGAGGGAGCGCGAAGGACCGAGGTCTCCTGGAAGACGAGCGGGCCCTCCAGCTCGCCCTGGATCAACTCTGCCTCCTTGGTTTGGGGGAGCCCCCCGCCCCCACGGCGGGTGAGGACGGGGGAGGTGGGGGGGGCAACGCCCCCGCCCCGCCAACTGCCCCCCCTCAGCCTGCCCCGCCGCCACCACCTCCGGCGCCCCCGGCAGCCCCGCCGGCGGCCCCCCCGGCCCAGCCGCCGCAGCCACCGACGGCCCCTAAAGGGGCAGGCGATGCCAAGCTCTGCGCCCTGTACAAAGAGGCCGAGCTGCGGCTCAAGAGTAGCAGCAACACCACGGAGTGTGTCCCCGTGCCCACATCGGAACACGTGGCGGAGATCGTGGGCAGACAAGGTAAGTGGGGGAAAGGGGGGAGGCACCGGGACCCTGGCATCCCCGCCTGCTCCCCTCCCGCCCATTCCAGCATCCTCCTTCTCCCGGGCCAGGAAAAGTTCATTCCCCCCTCACCAGTCCCTAGCTCCATGCCTTCACCACAAAGGGGGACCCGCCTCCGCCCCCAATTTCTAAGTGACATAAAGTTCCCTTCTGATCCCCACTGGGATCGTTCCGGGGCACCCCCTAGATTCTCCCCTAAGACAAAGAAATACTAACAGCGAGGGAGTGGGGTTTAGTGGTCTTGCAACCCAGACTAGATTCTCAGAGGGGGTGTCCCTTCTGAGCTGCAAAAGCTAGAGGAATGTGGGGATAGGCACTCCTTTGCACCTACTCCCCCTTGGCAAGTGGGCGGGGATTAGAGGAGGGGTGCCCTGCAATCGCTCTGGCCCCCTGAGTTACATACTTTTGGGGGAGATAGAGCCTGGGAAGCTGGGACTGGGTGTCTCTTTGTTGGACTGAGTGTTGGAATGGAAGGGGGTGTGGCTGGGGGGGAAGGGCTGGAACCTGGGGGAGGGGCAGTAGAAGGGTGTGTGGGGGTGCATAGACTATAGGAGGTGGGGGCTTCAGATCACCTCTCCACCAAAGTTCGGAGGCTGGGCTGGGGGTGGCATGGGGTGGGGGCTCCCCCTAAGGAGGTCCTGGGCCTTGGATCCTGGTCCTGTCCCCCCACCCCTCCTCCCTCTCCTTCTCTTGCTCTAGCTTTTGTTCTGGGTTGGCAAGCCCAGGGGTGACAGGAGGAGCCTGAGGAGTGGGTTTGCCGCGGGTGGAGTGAGAAAATGGGGGTTCTGGGAAGCGGGAGCTAGAGACCGATGTCTGGAGAGATTGGGCTCGGGGGAGGAGTTGAACCTGAGCTGGGGGGTCGATTTGCAGAATCAGCCTAGTGTTGTGTGTCTACCACACCCTCCTCTCTAGCATCCCTAAGCTGAGAGTCGGGAGGTAGGAAGAGTCCCAGAATGAGCAAACAGGGGTCTTGGGGGATCCTTCCTTCTGCAGGTTTTCCTCTGGGAGGGAGGGGGTGGATCTGGAAATTGCAAAGGGACTTGGGTGGGAGAGGGGGAAGGAGAGGAGGTGGGGCTATCCCAAGTCTTGGAAACAATAGAGGGGTAAGATTCTGACTGGGAGCTGGGTGGGGGGTGGCAAAAGCACTGGAGTCCTGGTTAGTCCTTATTTTCAAAACTCCACCCTTGGAGCATGAAGGCTTAAGGGAGAAATTTGTGATGGAGAACTAAGTGGAAGTCTGAAGTCTCTTTTCTTCCCACCCTTCCCAGATCAGGTGCTATCTCTTTGAGAATGCTGGTTTAGAAAGTTGAATTTTCTGTTGTGTTCACAACAGAGAAATCCTGAGAAGTGGGACTGTAGAATTGAGAGGCTGACACATTTTCTCAGAGAGGGGGAATTTTGAGAAGCTCCCCAGTCTGGCTGGATCCCCCTGAGATTTTTTTTTTCTCTGCCTCTGCTTCTGTATCATATGAACCAATCCTCAAGTTGGACTAGGAAAAAGTCCCCAGTTCTGAAAGCATAGGGGATTCACTCAGCTCCCTGGCAGTCAGAAAGTCTTCCCGTCAGTCTAACCTTCCTCCCTCCTGCTGTAGCACAATCCCTTCCTGTCTGTCTTGAAGCCAAAGTGAGCCTTCATATCCAAAGAATCTTCTTCATGTGATGTCTCCTTTCATCTTCTCTTTTTAGCTCCTCCCTTCACTCCACCCCCACCCACCTTCGACAGCTTCCTAACCTCAGGATCTCTACCTCTTGTTCCTAGATCCTTGCTTCTCCTTTTCCCCCTATGCCCCTTTGTAAGGTATCCAATCACACTTAAGTTCTATGTCCCAAACTTGTATACAGGTGTTCCTTCAGAGATCATTGCAGCCATCTGAGCAGAGGTGCTGAGGAAGGAAACCCCTCACCATTCCCCAAGTCTTCCTGCATGCAGATTAAATAACTACAGATATTAAAGTAGAAGGGATGAGAAGCTCAGTAGCTAGTAGGTAGAGAGGATAAAGAAGACTATTTCCTAGTCTTTTTAGTTAAACTACCTTGTGGGAGGAGGCTTTCTGGAGTAGGACACTGGGAAACAGAAGAACTGTGAATTAGGGCCGTGGGAGAACCAGTAAATTGGGAGGTAATCAATGACCTTGATCTGGAAGTATTAGTTGAAGAAAGTCAAGTCAAGAAGTATTTATTAAATGGCTTCTATGTGCCAGGTACTGTGCTAAGCTCTGGGGAATACAAAGAAAGGTAAAAGATAGTCTCTACTCTCAAGGAGCTCCCAGATTAATGGGGGAGACAAGATGTAAACAACCATGTCCAAACAAACTATAGACAAGGGTAGATTGTAGTAATCTCAGAGGGGAGGGCCTAGTATTAAGGAGAATTTGGAAAGTCTTCTGGCAGGAGATGAGAGTTTAGCTGGGACCTGAAGGAAGCTAGGGAAGGTAGGAGGTAGAGATTAGGAGGGAGACAATTGAAAGCATGGGGGACAGCCAGTGAAAATGGGAACTAGCCAGTGAAAAGTCAGGGAAAGTCAAGGTAGTAGAGAAAGGATTCATAGGGTCTATTTGTGCTTCCTGAAGTACAGAAGATAGGGTGCACTGATGTGGGGGAAATTTTGTATGTGTTTTGAAATGTGATGTGTTTGCATTGGGATGGGGGAGAATGTGAATGTGTCTAAAGTGTGGATGTTGTGTGTGACAGGAGTGTCTATGACAGTGTCTTTTGGCTTTATCTTAGACACATAGTTGATTACTGTGGGTTGTTTAAACATATGTATTTTGTATGTATATGTGTCCGGGGGGGATCAGAGTGTGAATTTTGTGTCTGTATACATATATGTTTGTGTATGTGTCAGTGTATAGTGTGTGTGTGTAGCTTGCCAATGGTAGTGAACTGTATGTGATTTGTGTAGGGGACTACAAAACATCCCTTTCTGAGATGTTCATATCAAGTGTCCTGTTTGTTCACTGTGTGTCCATATCTCCTCCTTAGGAGGAGGTGATTCACATGGAGAAAAGAGGAGATAAGAGATTCTCTAATCCTCCAGTGGGGGTCAGGGGTGGGTCTTCAATTTAGGTGCCTACCCCTACACACACACACACACACACACACACACACACACACACACACACACTTCCTTTCCATCTCGCTCTTTGTGTCTTTATCTCCTTCTTTCTCTTGTTCTCTGTGTTTTGCACCCAACTTCCCAGCTATACACTTCTCATCTAACCCCCAACCCCAAAGCTGGTGAAGAGTTGTAGGGAGGACTCATCCATCTTGCTTTACCCCTACCACATATACACATATCTTGGCCCCTGCTCTCCCCTCATCTTTCTTCATGGGGGAGGGGGATAGTGGACCGAAATTGTAGGCCCAAGATAACATCTTTTATCACTTCTCCCGCTCTTCTGTAACTAGAAGGGCTACACATAAGGACCTAAAGGGCCACTTGTGGCCTTGAAGCCACAGGTTCCCTACCCCTGTCTTTATTTTTCCTGGGTCTGTTTATTTCTGCAAACTCCGTATGGATTTGGGAATATGCAGGGGGCAAGGCTAAATTGGAACGTAAGTGACTGGAGTGAAGAGTAGACAAAGATCAGTGGGGGGAGATAGTGAGTACATTGGGGGAATCTGAGTGGATTGCAAGAGGGTCTTTCATTGGATTAGAAATCAGTGAATAGATTGGGGCATCAGTGAGTAGATATAGGAGGTTAATAGGTTTTTAAAGGCTCATTGAACAGGTTTGGGAAGATATCAGGTGGATTGGAAGATCAGCAAGTAGACTGGGGGTCAGTAGGTAGTAAGTAGATGGGAAAATTAGGTAGATTAGAGGCTCAGTGAGTGGTCTGGAGGGGTACTGGGTAGATTGGGTGCCAGTAGGTGAACTGATTGGGAAGTCATGAGTATTTTAGGGGTTAATGAATAGATTGGAAGCAGATATGTAATGAGATTTGTGGTTTGAGTAGATTTGAAATCAGTGAGTATTTGGGGGGAATCATCAAATAGACTGCGGTTCAATAGGTAGATTGGGGATCCATTGTGCAAATTGAAGGATCAGTGAGTACTCACCAAGGCTCAACGAGTAGGCTTGGGTGGATTAGTGGATGGATTATGAGAGAGGTCAGTGTGGAAATTTTAGGTCCAGTGGGCCTGTGAGTAATTTGAGAAGACAGTGAATATATTAGGAAAGTTATTAGGAAAATAAGGGGTCAGTGGGTGGTTTAGAAAGGTCATTGAATGAACTTAGGGGGTCGTTGGTTAGGTGAAGGTTAATTACTGGATTGGGAAGATCAATGGATTTAGGGTCAATTGTTGGATTTGGGAAAGAGTAAATAGATTGGGGGTCATTTAATGGATTATGAGAGACTATGGATGTATTGGGGACAAATGAAACTATCAAGGCGTCACTACTCACTGAGTGGTCTATTCTTGGCCCAGATTAATCCTAACTTTCTGTCTTAATGACGTCCCCTATATTTCTTTTCTACTCTCTTTTTCCTTTTCCCTTAGGCTGCAAGATCAAGGCCCTACGAGCAAAGACCAACACCTACATCAAAACACCTGTTCGAGGTGAAGAGCCAGTATTTATGGTGACAGGACGCCGGGAGGACGTGGCCACTGCCCGTCGGGAGATCATTTCAGCAGCTGAGCACTTCTCCATGATCCGGGCCTCTCGGAATAAGTCAGGCGCTGCCTTTGGAGTAGCACCAGCTCTCCCTGGCCAGGTCACTATTCGGGTTCGAGTACCGTATCGTGTGGTGGGGTTAGTGGTAGGGCCCAAGGGGGCCACCATCAAGCGGATCCAGCAGCAGACTAACACCTACATCATCACACCCAGCCGGGACCGAGACCCCGTCTTTGAAATCACCGGTGCACCAGGCAATGTGGAACGGGCACGAGAGGAGATTGAGACCCATATTGCCGTCCGCACTGGCAAGATTCTTGAGTACAACAATGAGAATGACTTTCTGTCAGGTAGCCCTGACCCTGCTCTGGAGAGCCGCTATTCCGAGGCCTGGAGAGTGCATCCACCAGGGTGCAAACCTCTCTCTGCCTTCCGACAGAACAGCCTTGGTTGTATTGGAGAATGTGGTGTTGAGTCAGGATTCGAGGCGCCACGGCTTGGGGAACAAGGAGGTGACTTTAGCTATGGTGGCTACCTCTTCCCTGGCTATGGAGTTGGCAAGCAAGATGTGTACTATAGTGTGGCTGAGACTAGTCCTCCACTCTGGGCTGGCCAGGAGAATGCCACCCCCACCTCCGTCCTTTTTTCCTCTGCCTCCTCATCTTCATCTTCTTCAGCCAAGGCCCGGGCTGGTCCCCCAGGGTCACACCGTTCACCAGCCCCAGCATCAGCATCGTCAGCCGTCCCCGAGCTGGCTGGGCTTCCAAGGCGACCACCTGGGGAACCCCTCCAGGGCTTCTCCAAACTTGGGGGTGGTGGACTGAGGAGCCCAGCTGGAGCAGGGGGTGGGCGGGATTGTATGGTGTGCTTCGAGAGTGAGGTCACAGCAGCCCTGGTCCCCTGTGGACACAACCTCTTCTGCATGGAGTGTGCTGTACGAATCTGCGAGAGAACCGATCCTGAGTGTCCTGTTTGTCACATCACAGCCACACAAGCCATCCGAATATTCTCCTAAATACTCCTCCCCGGTTTTGGCTTCCCTCCCTGCTTTGGACTGTTTTTCACCAGGGTCCTTTAGAAATTGGCAATCTTGTGGGGGGCAGGGTGTTTAAAGATCCCTGCTTTGGGATTTGGGAGAAGGAAGTCCTACAGAGCAGGGTAGGATGTGGGTCTTTATGCCCTCCCAATGGTCTCATGTTGGGGAGATGAGGGAGGGGCAGACTGGGAATGAATGACATTCCCTTTGAGAGTTACAACTCTGATACCTCAATAGACCCTCAAATCTGGAAGCAGCTAAGAGAACCTTTTATATTTTGCAAGGGGGCAAGAGTTTTCGCCCCATCTCATCACCCCAACCCCTCTCTTCACTAAGCCACCCTTTCCCTTTCCTCAGTGATTGTTGGGAAGACAGGGAATGAGAAGTAAAGACACCATCTGGAAGGGCTACTAAACACCTACAGCCCAGAATGCTTTAATTCCCCTAACCCATAATTCCTGACCTCCAGCCTCTGACCTCTTAATCTACCCTAACCCTTGTCACCTTTTCCCACCCCAAGCTCCCAAAAGACACACATATGTTTAGGGAATCTCCTGGGCTTTCCCTACTATCCTACTTTGGATGAACTTTGTTTTGGGGGAGGGCAAAAGGGGAAACTTGTCATGGGGAGTTCCATCTCTCCCCTCCTCTTCTCTCCACTACAGTAGTTTTAGAAGATTGTTGCGGAGAGAAGAATAATGAGGGGCTAGGGTTTGGGAATTAAAGTATCCCCTACAATAAGCACTGAGTTAGAGGAACAAGGGGGGATGTTCTCTGTCTCTCCTCACTCTTACTTTTCATATATTTGTCTTTTTCTCTCTAGCCTCTATACCTCCACTGTTTCTCCTGCCACTCTTCATTTCTGCTCTTCTTCTGTATGCTTCCATCTACCCTTGTCACTCTCTCCTCTCTGTCTCACTCTTTCTCTCCTGTCTCTTTCATCTCCTTTTCTTCTGTCTCCTATCATCTCTCTCCTCCCCTCCCCTTTCCTTTCCTCTAGTTAAGCGCAGCTTTTGGGAAGCCATGTTCCTCTGGAGGGAGTTGGGGTGGGGGGAGGGGGTGCACCTCAATGACCCTTTCACATTCACTAGATCTCAACAACTGCTTTCCATTCCCACCCCCACCCCTGCCACTACTCAGAGCCTCCACCTCCCTCCACTCCTACAAAGGAAACTCTCTGAATGCCCAAGAGAAACTAACCCTTCTCTCTTCGGCATCACCAGGCATCTGAGGGACATTAGGGGGAGGCACCTCCACTCCTTGACCATCTGTTGGCATTAAATTTGTGTATCTGTTGTGATGGGGAGATGTTCATCTGAAGGGAATGATTGGTTGGCAGTGGCCTAGATGGAGGAAGGAATGAAAGCTGATGCCCCCATAGCTGGGGATCCTAATTGTTCTGTGACCTGGCAGGGGCAGGAAACTGTATGGAAGGAGACACAGTGAGAACCCTACCCAGTTGTGGGGATAAATGCTCCTGACATTTTTCTATCTTCATTCACTGTGCTGAGCTCAAAGTCGTCCGTCCAACAGTTTGAGTGTGGGAAGGTGACTTGAAGAGGGAGCCATGTAGGATGTTGGGGAGGGAACCTCCCACTGGGAGCTGTTCTGAGGATTATCTGATTGGGAGAGAGGATTTGATACATCACCTTTTCCCCTCCCTCATTGCCCACATCAGGGCTGCTGTTGACCTCTTGACACTCCCCTGGTTCTGCTGGCCAGGCTGGGGAAGGGGCAGGAGGGTGAGAGTCCTAGGTTAACCTAGGGACCCTTGTATATAATGGGGTGGGACTATTGAGTAATCTCTAAGCACTTAGAGAGAATGTGAATCCCATTCTTCCTGCTTTGTAAGGAGGTGGAGAGATAGGGAGGCAGGGAGAAACTCCTTTCTCCCCTTCCCCCTGTCATGAATGAACTAATCTTCTTCCTCCTTTCCCCTTTCCTTCCTCAAGTCAGGGAAGGGAAAGGAATATGATATATAAAAAAAAAATCCATACTGTGATAACTTCCATCCTTCTCATTGTCATGAGCCATCCCAAGATGCGTCTGTACAATAGCAACCAAAACCAAATTGGGACCCTCCGTTGTCGGGGGGTGGGGTTTGGGAGGGTGGGGTGGGAAGAAGGGCTGTCTGTCTCCACCCCTTGCTCCCTTCCATTCCTTATCCCATAAAGGCAGAAGACTGTTAATCTACAGAGCTCAGAAAAACCCAATCCAGCCCCCCTACTTCTCGAGCTAAACCCTAGAAACAAACTTAAACAGAGAGCGAGACAAAACAGTAGAGGCGGGAGAGCAAGTGAGAGAGGTGTCCAATACAGAGGAGAAAACAAAAATAGCAAAAAAAAGAAAAGCAGTTCTTTATAATTTAATATTCTATTTTAATAAAGGCGTTTATTACCATATAAATGTAGCAGAGAACCTGGGCTAATATGGAAAAAAAGACTTTTTATTAGGTAATTTATTATATGAGAAGGATATTTTATTTTATGATAAAGTGATCCTTAAAAAAATAAAAAAACTTTAGAAGGTTTAGAATATATGTAGGGAGAGAAGAAAAAAAATAATACATTTGTATTCAGAGTTAAAGCTTAAAAAGTGTTTTTAATATATGTTTGGGTTTATGTTCCTTTTTCTTTTCCCCATTTTTTTCAGGGGGTGGGGTATGTCATTTGGTTTTCCAGAGAGTGTTTTAGAGGTGTTTAAAGCAGGCCTGACCCCTCCCAGAATGTGGGAGAGAGGAGGCAGGGGAGAAAGTTAGGTTGAGGAATTAATCCTGTCTCCTTGACCATTCTTCTGGGAGAGTCACCCATTGGTGCAGGTGATTCAGTTTCATTCAGTGGGCTCTCCCAGCCCCATACCTCCCCCAACCCCCTTATTGGGGCTAGCCAGGCTGAGCCAGACGAAGTAGGGGATGAACAAGAAATAGAGAATGAGAGGATGGGGAACTCTTCAGTGTACCCCCACACTCTGACCAGGGGGTTATGGGAACAATGCAGGAAAGGAGGGGATCCCAGCTGAGGGGGGGGAACCCTGAGTGAGGGAGAAGGGTGAGAAGATTCAAGAGAAATAGACTTTTTTTTTAACCAAAAAAAAATGAGAGAAGAAAGAGAAGCTGAGGGGTTTAAAAGAAAGAATTACTACAAAATAATAATAATTATTAATAATTCAAATTTATTTCATATAATCCTAGAGAAAAGAGAGAGAGAGAGAATTACTAGTTACTGAGTAGATGATATACAGATAGCTTAAAGTTTAGTAGCATTGAGGACCTCTGGGTCCAGTAGAATGTATAAAAGACGTAAAGAAAAGGAAAATAGAGAAGGAGGGAGAGGTGGCCACGTCTACCCTGAGTCCCTCCCATCTTCAGATACCCAGTGAGGGCAGTTTCCTGGCTAGACTTAGGACTTTGGGGGGGGAAGGGGGAGGGGAAGGGAGGGAGTTAATTCTGAAAATTCCTGTTTTCCATTTGCAGGGTAAATTGGGGTTTGGGGGTTAAGGAGGTTTTGGAGGCTCCTTGGAAGGATAGAAACTGATCTTGGAACTGGATGAGGAGCACAGGGGAGGCAATTCTTTAGTTTTTCCTTCACTCTTTTAGTCCCCCCCCCCCAAACTATGTAGGGACCATTGGGTCCTGCTCTCTGTTCCCACATCTGGCAGGCCATTACATTAGCCCATTCCAAAGGGATCTCTCTTTTCCTTGATCTTGGAAGAAGAGAAAATGCTGCCCAAATCCATTTAGTGCTGGCATCTCTCAACTTCTAATGTGAGAAGTCCTTTTGAAAGTTTGACCTCCATCCCACTTGCTTTAAGTTTAGACCCTTTCCTCAGTATCTCACCATCTCCCCCTGCCCTCCCACACCTATCTGTCCATCACAGTCCCAAAGGTTCCACTTCAGGGCCTGGTAGGTCATCTCCAACCCCACCTTCATCTTCTTGTGAGATTCAAGGAACTGCAAAGTTCCATTGGGTCTGGAATGCCCTTCCCCCTCAGATCTCTCCCTACCCACACCCTTTAAAATAAACCAATACTGCAATAAGAGGAATGGATGTTAAATTTTTAGGAAGGACTTCCGGTTGGGTATTAGGATTAAGGTCTTTCCATCCCTGACGACACCCTAAATGGGCTGAACTAAAGCCAAGTGGTCCAGAAGCAAGTGAAGGACAATAATACCTCCAGAAGGCCTCTGCCACCCTCCTCTGGTTCAGCTATATCCATGAACTTTAGGTTGGGGTGTCAGAGGAATGAGCCAGCTGGGGAAAGCAAATCTTGCTTCCTTAATCTCTAAAGTACCTTCTCACCCCACCTTCCAAAACAGGGGCCCTGGTTCATTTAACCCCTTGAGGCTTGCATCAAGGAGGAAACTGATTCCTTTAGTACTTGCCTCCCTTCAACCCCTAATCAAATCAGGCCCCTTCCCTCCCTTCCTCCTCCACCACAGGGGGAATTCTTCTCTGGATGGGGTTAGGTGAAGGAGTAGCCCTCTCCCTCCTTGTGCCCTGAGAGGGAAGGGAGAGATGCTGGGTTGCTCCTCACTGCCCAGATTCACACATCCCCATCCCCACCTTCCCATTTAGTCCATCTTTTCCACCAGGAACAGATTTCCCATCCACTCTGCTGTTTGTCCTGGGAACCCCCAACAGTATGGGATGGTAGGGTTTTTACTCCCAGGACAGGGGGAGGGGGTGTCTTCCCACTGTAGAATGTAGAAGTAGGATTGTGGTCAGACTTAATTTGAGGCATCTAGGGAAGACAAGACGAATTCGAATTTGCGAAGGAAGAAGGAAACTAAATAGGGGCAAAAAACCAGCCTATGAATAATGGAGTCAGGACGATGTTGCACAAAATGCAGAGAAACCAAGAAAGGGGGTGGGGAGTTAGTGTGTTAAATGTGCTATTAAGAACTTAATTTTATTAAAATTATTATTACTTAAAGACCCTGCCTCTTTTCTGCTCCAGCAGGTGTGTGTGTGTGTTTTAGTGGGAAGGGCAGGGAGAACGATTTGAGGAGTGGGTTCTGGGTACATTTTAGTTTGGGGACTCCTTGCATACCAGTGGGAGTTTGGTCTCTGTTTCTCTGTCTGTCTCTGTCTCTGTGTGTGTCTCTCTCTTGGCCCTTGCCCTGTCTTCATGACTCTGCCTCTCCTTTGGATTTCCAAGTACTTAATCACCCTAACCTGCTTCCTTCCTTCCCCCAACCTTGGAGAGGACTTTTGTGCACCAAAAGACATTTGGAAGTGAGCCTTGTCTTCCAGAAGCCCAGTCTAGCTTCTTCCAGACTATATTCAGGAGGACAGAGGATTATGGAGGAAAGAAGGCAGAGATGGGACACAATAATTATCCCCACATGCACCAAACATATCAGCTTTCCTCTTTAGTTGTTGAGGAAAGAGAGCTTAGGTGTCCTGTCTCCTGAACTTCATTACCCACTACCCTGAAAGATAAGGACCTAGATACCCCCTGCCTCCTTTGCCCTCCTGCCCATATACAGCTGGGGTTTAAGGTGCCTGGCCCCCCAGAACCCTCTTCCCTACTCCTCCCACTGCTGTATAGGTGACCTCAGCTCTTGGCACCAATGCCCAGGGCACCAGATGGTTCCTGCCAACGCTGTTTCCTTTGTCTTGCCTTCTAGGTCCCCTTCCCCCCCTCCCTCCCACCTGCCCCGAGGATTGGCAGAGGGGAGGGTGGGCACCTCCCTGCCTCCTTGGCACCACCCCCAGACCATAGGACTCCAGAGACAGCTGGCACGGGGGGCAGCAGGCTCATGGGGAGGATGACAGAGGCTTGGGGGCTTCAAAGAAGAGATTTTAGGGAGGGGCCCTGAAATAGAGAGAGAAGGAAGGATGCTGAGGGCCCATGGGTGGGTGGGGAGAGAGGGGGAAGGGATGAATGCAAGGGAACAGCAACAGGTGGCCCTTGTTACAAAACAGTTTTTATTGGTGGGATCGGGAGGGGGGCATTGCTGGAGGGGCTCAGGGGAACGCAGCAAAAAAAGCAGGCAATGGAGTCCTGGATTCCTGGATAAGTGAGATCCAGGTGCTTAGGGCCAGGTGACCTTCTCAAAGGGCACAGAAATATCCCAGAAGCTAATTAATCTTGTGTAGAGGAGAACGGACATACAGGAGTAATGCGGAAGGGGTGTGGAAGCAGGCTATAGAAACTCCCCTAACACTCTAAGAAAGTGATCAGTCACAGATCCCCAAAGCCAACCAGGAATGGCTTTCTAGAAATTGGGGTCCCTCTCTCTCCCTCTGCTTAGTGGAGGGTGCAGCTGAAGGGGTCATCTTTTAGGGCTGAGACTCATGGGGAGAGAATGATAGGAAATTCAGGTCAAACGTGAGAGGCTTCAGGCCAAGATACTCAGGTCACCAGCTGGCTTCAGAGGCTGATACAGCAAGCCTTCTTCTCCTCAGAGCCCTGCTCTTGCCCAGGTTGGGCACTGCCCAGAGTGACTGCATTGGCACGGGTGTTGTTCTGACGCTGCTTGGACACCTTGGTGAAAATCTCTGGGAGGGCAAAGGATGGAGGTCAAAGGTCAGGTCAGTTCACCACGGTCTAATTTCCTTTCTTGATCACTGGGAGCACCATGACTTCAAAGGAAGTTCGTTAAAGGAACAGGAGACTTTGGGTAGCTGGGTTACATCTCTGGGATCTACAGTGACCGGGACTGCTGAGTTCTTTCCCCCAACTAATAGGCAAGTTTTGAGAAGAACAGGTCAGAGGAAGCTTCCTAAGGGGTAAGGTAAGGGATACATATATGAAGAGAGAGAGACAGACAGACTGACGGACAGACAGACAGGCACAGGAAGAGAGACAGAGAGGTTAGGAGCCCTAGAAGCTGGGTGTAGCAGGGGATTGGGCTGAGATCTTGGTGAGATGCAGGGGGAATTCAGTTATTTGAATTTCTAGCTGAGGCCTAAGAGAGCATCACATCAAGAAGAATCCTGAGAATGAGCAATGAGAAGGGATAGTGGCCTGCACAGACATACAGAGAATCATACAAACCTTTGAGGACAGTTTCGAAGGCCAGCTCTACATTAGTGGAGTCAAGAGCTGAGGTTTCAATAAACAGGAGTCCATTATTTTCTGACACAAAAAAAGAAAATCAGTAATTGTCATTAATTTTATAATTAGAGGAAAGCCTTGGATACTCCTAACGACAACCTTGGTCATGCCCACTGAAATTAAGCTATCAGGACAGCGCGTACACTGATAATAAACTTACCATCAAGTGGAGTAGGCATGATAAAAATGATCATTTTAATCTTAAATGAACTCCTAAATTCCCATAGGTTATTCTGTGAGTCTACTCACATGTTAATGTATCACTAAACAACGATGATAAACAAAATTAGTGCCTTTGTTAACAACAACAGCGTCATACAACGTTTTCCTCTGACACCTGTTCACGGGATCATAAAGTGAACTCTCCCAAAGAGACTTTCCTTAAGCACAGATCTGGCCACTTTCCAGCCTCGTTGGATAGTACTTTCCCTCTAGTATTCTTCAGTCCGGCCAGACCAACTTTCTCTCCATTCCTCACTCACGACACTCCATGTCCTAGCTCCATATCTTTGTATTAGCTGTCTCCCATTCGTGGAATGTGCTTCCTTCTTACTAATGCCCCCTAGAGCTTCCCTTTTTCTTTAAGATGCACCTCAGAAAGTTATCTTCTGCATGAAGCTTTTACTGATTCTCTTCTCACCCTCACAAATTTTAATTCTCTCCCCTCCCAGGGTACCTTGTATTTATGTACTCCCTGTGTGTGTGTGTGTGTGTGTGTACATACATGTATTTCCTAACTTTACACTGAGCAGCTAGGTGGTGCAGTGAATAGAGTGCTGGGTCAGGAGTCAGGAAGACTGGAGTTCAAATCTGGCCTCAGACACTTGCTAGCTGTGCGACCCTGGGCAAGTCTCTTAACCCTGACTGCCTTACTAAAAAAAAAAGCAAAAGGAGCTGAAGATGGAAATGGCAAACCACTCCAGTATCTCTGCCAAGAAAACCCCAAATGGGGTCATAAAGAGTTGGACCTGACTAAAAAATGACTCAACAGCAACATAAAACTTTATATTTATGCTGAATATATATTTTACATGTACTCGTGGTCTCTTCCATTAGAATATAAGCT